TTTGCTTTAGGCCACTAGTTACAATGTGTTCTCAGCATTACAATCGGTGCAGAAAATCTAAATCTTGGTCCTCTACAGGGAATCACAGTAATCAGTTGTCTCTAAAATTCATTTGGTTTCAGGATGCTCAATTGTACCCCCTCCCCCCGGGGCCCCTCAACTCCTTTTCAGTATCCTTTGCAGTGGGAACAGCTTTGGGAACCCTCTCCCAGATGTGGCACAGCCCCAGTTTATTTTTTGTCCGTCTGGTTAGTTTTACAGAAGGGGAAGTTCTTTGTGTGGAATTGTATTCAGATTGAGCTGGTGAGGAACACATTTCTCCTGTGATTCAGAACAGAAGTTTGAACGAATCACTAGCCACTTGGTGGTCTTGCAGGAAAAGCACAGGAAACCACATCATAGAATTATTCTCATCTTTCTCTACTGTTTCTCTTTCCTTGAGTATATTATGTATCCCTACCCAACACTAGGTGAACAAGCACCAACAGAAAGTGCCCTATGCCTGTGAACAAGCTGTCCTTGTAAAACCCTGGCTGTCACCTGCCTACAACTTTTTTGTTTAATCTCACATCTCAGCACATACAGTATTATTTCTCTAATAGAGCTGGCTTTTGATAGCATCACTTGCCTGGTTATTTATCATATATATCTGTAACTGAATCGCCTATTGCAGTAATGGGATTTACTCTCAAATATACATAAAAATGCAACATAAAATAAAATTGTTCCACTGTATGCTTCCTCATCATTGGGCATGAACTCCAGGCCATGCAATTCCACAGAAATACATTGACAATTACAAATGCAAGATGGTCAGGTAAAAGGGGGTGTTCGTGACCAAATATCAAAGAAATTCATCCTCTAACACAGGCATTCCATTTTAAAATGATTTCTTATTCATTGTTAGCCAAAAAAAGCCAATCCTAATCCATGTGAAGAAAGAGCAACAACAGAGTAATTTGACTTTTGCTACCTGCACAGCTGAGTAGGTGGGGAAGTGTCTGAGAACCTGGAAAGGGGCAATAAAGTGTACCTGGCTTTGCTCTTGTCAAACAACCATAAATCTTGGACAGTAAAAGCAAAGAAATAAAGACAATGTCAGCTATACCTGGAAACAATGTTCTGAGTGTGGGCCACAGTTACATTAATCCCATTTAAATGTCACACCCCAGGTGAGATACAACTGGCCTTTGAAGTTGCCTGGCTTCAAACCACCCTGTGAAATGGAGAGTCAGGTTTCCTATACTAGGATCTTTCAAAGGCAAAGATTAGTTATGTCAGCAACCATGTGTTACAATAAATTATTGATAATCCCATCTCTCTCAGATTGAGTTTTTTTATTTGCTTTGCTCTGTCTGGCTTAAATTATGAACCAAACACATTTTGGGGAGACTCACTAAAGTGAAAACTTTGTATGTATCCTATCTAAAGCTCATTTTATTTTCTCTCTTTCTTTTCTATCAAAATTGATTTTGTGTAGTCAGATAACCAGTATCTGAAAAATTCATCCAGGAGATCCTAGGGGATAGAACAGTGGATAAAAGGGCTTGCTGTCAAGCCTCATGACTTGAGCTCATCATGATAGAAAGAGAAAGCCAACCCTGAGAAGTTGTCCTCTGACCTTCACATGTGGTCCATGGCATGTGCACAGACCACGCACACACACACACACACACACAGAGTGAATAACTGTAATAAAAAATTTTTTAACCTATCCAAGATATAAGAACTGAATTTACCAAGCGTACCAACAAAGCTGCCTCTCTCAACTACTTGTCCCAGAGATCTGCTCTTCACCTGCTAGGGTCATCTGCATGATGCTACCAAGCTGTGGGAATTACACACAGCAGAGTGCCCTAGCCATGCCAGATCCTGTCTTCAGGGCAGCAGAACGAGTGATAAAACTAAATTTTCTTCAACTACACTCCTAATCCTTACTTTAGAAAGGTTGCTGGGAACATACATTAAAATATCTATGTTGCCAACACAGTAGTGAGAACCATACAAACAGCTTAGAGTATAGCATGCACTCATCCGGGGATTCCAGAAAAGGTAGCTTTGCAAAATACAAATATAAATTCACAAGCAGGAGCCGGTGAACAGAAATGCAGATGCTTCCCTTTTAGACATCTTACTGTGTTGTAACTCAATCTGTTAGACACTCTAATTTATGTTTTAAACATTAATGAACATTAAACACAGAAACTTGCCACCTTGGTGTTATATCTTAAGCAATTTGTCTGGGTAACTATAGCAACAATTTCAGATATATTCTATAATACAAATTTGGTATAATTTTAGAATCAAGAATTAAACAGAATTTATTACAGAACGTAGGGATGCTTTTCTCTAATAGTTGCGCATACTCTACTACAAAAAAAAAGGATTACTTGTCTGGGAGTTTATATAAACACATTGATTTGTTCTGTGTTGCACACCACATGATATGTGATGCAAGCCTCTTCCTTGGATTAGCCCCTGATATCTGTGAACTGTGCAGCTCATGCTCACTGGACCCTTAGCAAAGTTCCCTCCTTCATCTCCCTGTATCTTTCTCAAAGGAAAGCCTCTGTTTCAGTGACTTCATGATAAAAAGGGCATTCAGGGTTCTTAAAAATAATCATCCAGTTGATTAAAACTATGCAATGCTTCAGCTAGGCAGCCTGCTCTGGAACAAGGAACGGTTGACAGTACACAAGAAATCGGCATCTATTTGGGGCAAGAAGCATAGAAAACAGAGGAAAGTCTGTTGGTTTAAACAACTGTCTCTCAGCAAGAGGCCAAAATACAATGGAGCACAATTTCTTATAAGAAACCTACAGTTGGGACCTCAGGTGGCCCATGGGACCTTGGCTTATGCTAAACCAGCAAGAGATGTTTATATTTATTTTAGTATCACCATCAAGTTTTAACAGCCTCTGCACTCTTAGTTTTCTTCTCTCCAGACATGAGGAAGAAATCACATGAAAGGGATACTGCAGATTTTGAACACTTCAAATACTTCCTTTGGTCAGAGACAGGCTCTCCCACCCAGACACCAAAGTCTTTGTGTGCAGCAGGAATCCTGCAGCTGTTTGCCATTAAAACAACCAAATAAGTCAGTGCAAGCCTTAAAAGGCATAAGATGATTAGCATAGTCCATTTTTTTCCCTGTTAAAAAAAGTACCTGTTGACTAAACACATATAAACATAGATGCCAGTTTAGGGGTTGTATGGTTCCATGAGCACACAGTGTGACTGCAGGTAGCATCTGAGGCAAGCCTCTGTCTCAGAAGTTTTCACAAGAAACAAACTCAAGGAGAAAGAAATATGTGCTTCAAACATTTACATTTAGGACTGTTTTTCACGTAAATCAAACATGCAAGGAAAACTTGAGAGGAAGAAGAAATGTACATTTGCTTGGGAGTAAAGACAGGTAAGAAACATATCTTCAGTTATTCATAACGAGGTATTATCTGCTTAAACTGAAGATGTGAACTGCCAGCTTTAAATTACAAACTTCACCCTCTCTCAAATAATCAAGTGGAATTAATCAGTAATTAATTCAACAATCCCTAATTGCGCATTAAAAAATGTTTCCTACTACAGTCTAGTTCTATCTTTCTGTGTCTCCTTATGAAAGACTAGGTCTGTCATCATTAACACATCTAGTCACAAACTCGGCCATTACAGCAGGGCTCTTCTAGGTAAGCTGTGACACGCAACTGTTTTCTTAAAAAATAAGCAGCAACACTTGTAACTCCCAACTCTGCAACTAATGTGCTCTTAAACAGCAGAACTGCCTCTCCATATTACATATAGCTCTGCCTTCACTCAATTTTAACTCTTTCTTGATACATCCAATAGTCAGAAGGAGAAAGATGTGTAAACGGATTGTGTAGGAATTCCTTTATTATCTCCGGAAGGGACCTCTTGGTTGGAGGATTGGATCCATATTTTTCTGACGCCTCTAGGAAGAAAGTTCTCTACGGTAAACAAACTACGTCCCTCCACCCTCCACCACTGAGGTGAAATTACTGCAAAATCTGCCAGATCCTGCTGCCTACTGCTTGGGACTCGCATCCACAGGGACCCAGCCACTACCAGGATGAGGAGCATCATCCTCTCCGAGAGCTCGCTCTTGGCGCCCCCTGCCGGGCATCCCTGGGACACCGCAGGCGCAGGAAAGTTAAAACCCAACTCCGGGCAACCACATCCAGGTGCATACAACAAAAAGATGAGGTGAAAGAGCTTCCCGCCAAAGCCGCGGAAACCCGGCCCCAGCGGCTCCAGGGCCAGCGCGGGGGGCGGTGGAGGGGGATCCCTGGGGATCTGTCCGCGGACACAGTTTCCCCCGCACACCTTGGAAGGAATAGCTCCCTCCCAAGTCCCGATCTACCCCGCTGGTCTCAGACCCTGAGCCCGGGTAAGCGAAATGGGTGAAGCGGAGCTGCCAGCAGAAAGGGGATCCCTCCCGGCCGGCGGTTCCCGGGCTGCATCCCCGCAGACCCTCGTTAGCCAAAGCGCTTGGTGGAGTTGAGTCCACTGCCTCCCAGTTTTCCGCAAAGCCCCAGTACCAGGAGGAGGAAAATCTGCCCAAGAGCGCGGGGCTGCCGGGTGGGCATATCCCACTGCAAGGACCAGCCGCTAGCCCCGGCCCCCCACCACGCGAGCCTGGCCTTGCGGGGTGCGCTCCCAGACCTCCACGAGTACCTTCGCGGTGTAGGCGGGGGTTCCAGCCTCGCCCGCTGCCGGGTCCCCTCCGGGACACTTCCGTCCCGGACCTCTGCACGCTCGGACCTCCGCAAAGGCAAGGGCACAAACTTCAGCCCGAGAACTAGCCCCGCCGCGGACGCCCCCGCACCAGCGGTGGTCCTATCCCTGCACGCGCCGCTCCCGGGATGTCCCCGCCCAGGTGCCTGCACTGTGACCCTACCCAGATCCACATCCCCCACCGGCCGACCACCGCCACCTCGGGTCCAGCCACAGCCACCCGGGGACGGTGCGGGGAGCCAGCTCACCAGCTGCGGGGCGCGCTCCTCGAGCCAGTCATCCAGCACCGGGCACCCCAGCGGCTCCGAGGGTCCTTCCTCTTCGGTGCCCAGCCGGGGAAGTTGAGGAACCACCGCTCCCCGCCACTTCCCCAGAGCCGCCCGCTACTCGCTGCCTGCCAGCCTGGGGACAGCTCCGCGGCGGACTCCAGGCGCGCAGCCGTTGCAGACCCGGTAGGCTGGCACCCCGCGAGGGAGACCCGCAAGGTGGCAAAGTTGGGTGCCCGGGCGACCTCTGCTCGGTAGTGGCGCGTGGGAACAGACAAGCACCCCCAAGCGGGGTCGCACGTGCCGGGCCGCCCCTGCAGAGGAGAATGGTGGTGGCTCAGGCCCCCGCTCGGTAGGGGCCGCGGCCGGCCAGGCTGAGGAGTCCACCCGCGGCGGGAGAGCAGCGCGCGGAAGCGGGCGCAGCGTGAGCAGCCGCCGCCGGCGCCGCCTTCCCGGCGAGTAGAGCGGCGCAGAGTGCGCGGGTCGGGAGCGCAGGGAGGGGAGCGCGGGGAGGGGAGCGCGGGGCAAGCCACCTCGCCCC